AACAAACACTCAATGACTTGACCCTTTCAGAGTCCTCGTATACTTTTTTAGGATCAGCAATCTAATGATTGCTATGGCTCCCTCCCTTATGTATGACTCCAGTCGTGGATGACCTGAAGTGTAGGCTTCGTGCTTCTCGTTGACGTGGATCTGAAACTAGTCACCACTAGTTAACAGCTCGTCTACAGGATTATATAGCTGGGTGCAGTATCTCTTAAAGTCTTATATAGTTAAGAATACTTCATTCTAAATATAGTATGGAAAGCTAGACAATAAGCAAATGATCTGCAATAACCTTTCCAGTGACGGTAAAATTTGGTAAAGTATACTGTGAAATATATCGGCCGATAAGTGTGTACATTTTAGTCTAAAGCAGTGGCGGCTGGCCAATAGAGGGCAATGGGGCCTGGCCCCACCTTGAGCCACACAAAAAAAAATAATAATAATAAAAATAAATTATACAAATTGTCAATATTTGTGTTTTTGAACTATGGAATGTACCCAGTAATATGTGTAAAATGTGATATCTGCGCAGAATATATGCTTTTCCTGCTCGTCCTCCGCCTGTGTGCTCGTCTGCTCGTGCTCTCCGCCTGTGTGCACGACACGTCTCAGAACGCACAGCTAGGGGGCCAAATCGTTTTGGCCCAAAAGAGGCGGGTCTATGAAGCAGTTTAGCCAATTGCTGATTAAAGATATAAATGAGTGACACACAATTTAGCCAATCAGCGCCCTCAAATAGATTCAGTTTTGGGCCAAAACGATTTGGCCCAAAGCTGCGCATTCTCGTCAGGAGAAGTCTCTACAGGCGAGCACTACTCCTCCAAGACTCGTTTGAGAGGAGACCTTTGGCGGAGATTCTGCAGACCAAAGAGCTGATCCCAGATCAGCCTGACCTCACAATCAGACAGCAGACTAGCGGGAAAGGGAAGCAGTACATGCGAAGCTTCTGTACTAGCTGTACACCAGACAGGTTTGGCTAGCTGGATGACGTCATGCTAATAACTTATTTAGCTTTTAAAAACAACGGGGACAGATCCAGCACGGACAGTCAGGGAGTGAGGGATGAGGAGGTAAGGAGACATGAGAACACCAGGACACACATGGAGAACTCTGTCAAGCTACATATTAGGCAAAGTTGTCCTCAGTCTCATCTGCTTAACTTGGTCATGGAGGCATCAACATGTAATTGAGATGGTAAATTAACAGTGAAAACTCATCATAGCTTAATTTAACATCAGTATTCATAATTACACTTCATGTTTACTTCTCCTGATCTTTACCTCCTATAACAAGGTCCATAGGGGCATCTCAATAAATACACATGTTATATTATATTATATAAGTGTTACTTACTGCTTTTTTTTGTGTTGGAATAAATGTTAAATATTTAACTGCAAAGTAGTAATGCGTGTTTGATACTTTAATATTTTTGCATTAAATCATACTGGGATGTTTGCTGAAATTGATAGAATGGCCCTACCTAGAACATGTTCCACCAGCCGCCACTAGTCTAAAGAAAAGGAGCTGTAGTTGCTGCTTCAAACTCAGCTGATATTCCCATTGTGCAGAACTTTTGATCAGCGTTTAAAAGGTTCCCTTGCCAGACAGCTTTTGAGATTAGTGTTGCCTTGACAACTGAGGGTGAAGTCAGGAGAGGTTAAAAAAGGCTGATTAAATGTTCCACTATTTGCATGCCATCAGGAAGAGTGGGATTTAGTGGGAATGCCTGTCTCCTGCTGATTAGCTTTTAAATTGCAGTTTGCAGCTTGGCTCTTGCATGTTTATCACAGAACAGATTGTCTTCTCCACATTTCAATGGCCGATAGAGGCAGTGATATGTGGAGTGGACAATCACACAGACAATATGTCTACACATCCAAAGCACTGAATAAATCAATGGCTATTTAAGACAAAATCATATGGACGCACTGCAGTATATTATAATGTTTATGGCTACCGCTAAGCCTTGATCCCCTGATTGCAACCTCATGTTGTCAGTTGAAGCATCTGTCATTTTCTGCTGTGTCATTGTACTGCAGAAGACAACTGTTAATGTTAACAAACCTGCCAGCTTCTACTCTTCGAACTGCAAACCCTAATTTCATAGAATGTTCACAAAATAGTTTGTTTCCACACAATACATACATACAATTCATCTATTTTCCTCTAGGTGCAACAGCAGCTTTGGTTCTTGTTGCAAATACAACAAATATCACACACAGTTCCAGGGTTTCCCTTGTGTCTTGCGCTCTCATTGGCTGGTCCAGATATCTGGGGTGCGTCTACGATGCATTGGCAAGGCTCTCTGCTCGCATCTTTCAACAGTTCACACATACTACAGCACTCCAGCGGCGATATGCAAGCACAGAGCCTCTGATCTGGGGCTTTTTTCGGGGAGCTCCAAAAGCCGTCGGTGAGTGGAAAATCAGGGCTAAAGTTGTGTACTGTGAACTACACACAAGGTGAAAGGAGGGAGATACCCAGATACAAATCAGAGAATGATCACCAATTGTGCAGTTCCACCCGGCTCTATGAAATGTTTAAGTTTAATCAGGATATGCAGACTCAGCTCTAATCAACCTACCTGGTGAATGTAGTTGAGCATCAAGCAGCCAGATATCTTTACAGAGCTGCTGAGTTGAGGCCAAAGTGGAGCTAAAAGGAGTGTGAATACTAGACTCACATTTGCCAGGTGGCAATATTGATTGTTGATGTTACTCCATGGCTGCTGGATGTGTGAATAGGCATGTGTTTGCTAACTATATATTTTATGGTAGTAGGAGTTGCTCAACCTCAACACTTCTGTCTGTTTTCTGTATTGTTGTCGGCATAGAAGAGGAAGAGCCGTACGTTTGAGCTGTGTTGTCTGGCCAGCGGGAGGCTGACAGCCCCAACCTGGTAGAAACAGCCTCCTGTGGAGTGTTTGTGTTTGCTACATGTAGAAATGCCTTTGACTGGGTCATTAAACACGCGTCTGGTTCTCTTCAGGTGTTGTACAGTAGGTGTCGAGGAATATGTGCAGGAATCAGTTTCCCAGGCTTGATGTACCATAGCAAATAGTTCTGCCAGGAATTTTGGACAATTTCCTCAGGCCATGATCAGAACAGATCGAGTACAAACTCAGCTCACCGCTCTGAGTGTGGCGGCTCACAGAGAGAACGAGGACTCAGTGGATGCAGGGATCCTCACTGCTGAGCACGTTTTACAATCAAGCAATCTATTTGGCTACTTTCTTTATCATTATTAGAGGGCTTAAATGTTGGCGAGAGCTATTTATTGACATTTTTCTACAATACTTTGAGCAGACAGAATTATAAGGATGATTATGGTTTGCTTTGAATGTCTTTGTCATAGCGGATATCATTAGCACTGGGCAGTTATTTGGATGAAGCTGAAATAATTATCTTCATATATACTACCGATATATACTTTATTCATCCCGCAAGGGGAAATTTGTTCGCTACAGCAGCAAAAAATATACTACACAATAAAAGTGACAAAATTAAGTATAAAAGATGCACAATATATACAATAAAATAGAATAGTATTCATTTAACTAACTAGATAAACTGAACAGTAGTGCAACAACAGTGTAGCAGTGTGTAGTTATGTGGAGGATGATCTGGCCAGAGGTGATTTCTTATAGAGTGTTATTGCAGTGGGCAGGAATGTTCTCCTGTATCTGTCCTTGTGACAGCGGAGCTGGATCAGTCTGTCCCTGCAGTAGGTAGTGGAGAGGGTGGTCCAGGTTATCCAATATGGATAATAATTCTTCAGTGTCCTCCTCTCCACCACCTTTTCCACATTGTTTTGTTTGCAGCCAATGATGGAGCCGGCCTTCTTAATCAGTTTATTAAGTCTGTTGGTGTCTCCGGCTCCAATGCTGCTCCCCCAGCAGACTACGGAGAAGTACAGTGCACTGGCCACAACAGACCGATGGAACATCTCCAACATCTTGCTGCACACGTTGAAGGATCGAAGTTTCCTCAAGAAAAAGAGTCTACTCATCCCCTTCTTGTACACAGCGTTGATGCCAGATCAGTCTGTTGTCGATGGAGACACCCAGGAACTTGTACTCCACCATGTCCACATCCTCTCCCAGAACTCTCAGTGGTTGTGGAGCCGTCGTCTTCCTCCTGAAGTCGACCACCATCTCTCTGGTCTTGGCCACGTTCAGAAGCAGGTTATTTCTACCGGCCCACTCCACAAAGTCATCCACTACTGCCCTGTACTCCTCCTCCCGTCAGTCCCTTATACACCCGACCACTGCAGAGTCATCAGAGAACTTCTGCAGATGGCATGACCCTGAGTTGTACTGGAAGTCAGTGGTGTACAAGGTGAACAGGAAGGGAGACAGAACAGTTCCCTGTTCTGTCTCCTAACCTGGCCAGTTGTCACAGAGAGGGGGGGGAGGATGGTCATGGTGTCAGTGGTGGAAGAGCCCTTTGAAGTGGAGGGCTCTGAGTCCATGCGGCTCACCAGGGGGAGGCAGCTGAAGTGTTTGTGAGGTGTGGTGTGTGGAGGAGACAGATTAGGGCTGTGAACTAAACCTATTGAAGAAACAGTTTAGCTTGTTTGCCCTCTCTTGGAAGCCCCCTGGTTGTCTCCCTCCAACCTTGAAGCCAGTTATCAGCTTCATCCTGGTCCACACCTCCCTCACGTTGTTCTGCTGGAGTTTGGCCTCCAGCTTCCTCCTGTAGGAGTCCTTCCACTCCCTGAGCTTCAGCTTCAGGTCGCGCTGAACTCTCCTGAGCTCGTCCCTGTGGAGGTGTGTTGCTTGGCGTCGCAACGATGTTGCTCCACTTTCTCTGGTCCCTGGGTTTTGGTTGCCCTAAGCTCTGGAGATGGTTTCACACTTTTTTGGGTTAGTGTATTTCTGATGCCTTCCTTCTTGCTCGCACACTCAGGCCAACATTATCACAACATGATTGACGCCCATCGGTGAGTGTATCTGTAACACACGTGTCATTATAAATTCCACTGCTCTTCTGGGCAAGACCCGCCCTGTGCAGCATCCAAGCGCTAGGATTGGCCAGGTGTCTGTGCTCGCAGAGGTACTGGTTACCTGATTCGTCCGGTTCCTATGTGTTCCTATATCCTGACCCTCACTACTCGAGCAGCGCAGAAAGTACGGATCATACCTGAATCCTCTTCTGCTCACTGTATTCTTCTCCTGTTGGTCATTGTCATTTTGATATGCTCGTTACAGGCCAGTGTTGCCTCCTTTAGCCCGTTATTGTCTCTTTTGAGCCACAGAAGGCCCTCATTTCCCCCGCGCCCGAACTGTAGTTGGACGTCAAACCACGCTTTGTTTACTTGCCGCTCAGGAGTGTTGAGGTCCAGGCCATTTTGTATCGATTCATCTCATTCATTTCATCTTCTGATATTCACGGATTAGTAGTTGTTGTGTTGAGTCCTTTCTTTTTATGGGTTTCACATTGAATACATGGTTGCTCGTTGAAAACTCTGAGACACTAGGACTGACTGAGGGGTGGCTCATTAATGTAACGGTTAATAGAAGTGCTCAGGTCATAGAGCTCTTTAATATTTCTGATATGTGACAGTGGCATAGAAATCTCACAAACTTTCATTGACCTGCTCCTTTAACACACGCAGGTTTTATGGTCTAAAATTCTTGTCTCATTTTTGTTCTGATGAACAATAAATGTAGTGCCCCATGCCCTGTCAATATTTCCCAAGCTACTGTAGCTGTCATGTTAGTCGACGCAATGGCGAGGCTTTTGTCATATGGAAGTGGGCGTGGTTTCATCTCTCAGCCACTTGTCCACTATTTTTAATTTTTTCTATTGAATGAGTGGGTGGACTGAGGCTCAGACCTGGGGGTGAAGTTCCATGTTAAGCAGCTCTGCATGTCGTTAAACTGGATTTTATTTGTGGACACTGTTCACTCCTCCACAGTCAGTGGAACAGTTAACCTTCAGTGATCCCGCTTTGAGTGGCTTCTAGTAACTGTGTTTCTTTGTGTCTGTGTGTTACCGTTCCATGTTGGAAGTGTCACAAAGCAGCCATGACAGTTCATTAGAAAAACGTTTCTTTCTCAGACATGGAATGATACAGAAATTGCTAAATTATACAAAGCAGTGGCATGTGGGTATTATGTCATGGCCATGAACCAATTAGATTGCTGGATTTGAGCTATCTGTTTTTAATATCCTATATCAACTTTTAGTGGAATCCTGGAGTGAGTGTGAGTGTTTTACTGAATTCTGCATCTTGAATGTAAACTGAGCAAACGATTAAATGCAAAAGTTAACTTTTTTCTTCAAGGGGAGACACTTCAGGCTCATAGGATAAAACACGTAACTAATAGATATCAACATGAAACTTCCCCCATTGATTACTTACATTACAAGTTTTCTGAAATAATATGCAAATGATTCATTATCTAATGGTACCTTTTGGTGAATTTAGGAGAAATCTCTGACCGCAAATAGACAGAGTACTAAAATACACTCCTGAAAGTGAGGCTGCTGTTGTTCTTGTAATACAGTGGTAAACTAAACGTGTTCCGTCATTTATTACTTTTAGCAGTAACCAAGTAATATAACGCATTACTAAATGGATTCCGGTGATATAATTATATTTCCGATGTCAAGTAATGCGTTGCCACACAAAAATGAATCTTTATTGTTTTCATTTTTCATTCATCCTCAACGCGCCACAAACAAAAGTGCCACTAGGAAAAAAACCTGAAAAAACAAAGCTACATTTGGCTGATTTTAATAGATAAGTGGCAATAATACACGCGAGTACATGGATGGGTATTGATATTCAGCGTATTGTTGTCTCTGACGGATCGTGTCATGCACCCACATCCTCCTCCTTTCTCCCCGGCTGTCAGATTGAGCATGACAAGCTCATGTATAGCCTCCTCCAGTTGGTGCTCATGGTGAGAAAACAATGTCACACAAATAGAGAGCAAACCAGATAGATGATAAAAAGCAAACTATAGACACACGTCCTTCACTTAGACTTTACATGATCTCCCACCCCTGATGAGCTGCATTGCAACCATTTTATAATGCCTAGTCGTACCTCGTACTACTTTGAAAAGAAAGTAACTAGTTTAATGTCATTTATTACATATTGAAAGTAACTTACCCAACACTGTTGGTGAGTCACGACTACATTTTGAATCTAAAAAGGCTGCTCTTGAAAATCCTGTTGTGTAATTGTGTGAAAACACCAATAAACCATCTTTTAAGCAAACATGATCTGTTTTGGTGATGCTCTTCACCATCATTATGGTGCCGTGAGTGCTTGTGGAAAGAGGAATCCTGGAGATTTGGAGGCAATCATTATTGGAGACGCATAACAAGGCACGGTAGCTCCCAGAGAGGGGGAAAGCAAGGAATGGGGAATGGTTTCGACAGAGGAATTGGTGCATAGAGGGTGACAGAGTTAAAGGGGTTGGTGGTTGGAGAGGTAATGGGAGGGAGGGTGAGAGTGACGGGAAGAGAGGAAGGCTGTGCAGCAGGTAGAGCCGCTAGACGAGATAAAGAAGAAATCATTCAGTCAATCAGCCGGGCCGCGCTGCAATCATCAGATCTCATCTGCTTTCAAGAGCAATTCGGCCTTTTATTGAGCTGTTGTGCCTCAAACAGGGAGGCTGCAATGGGGAACATTAACCCCTGCAATGCCACACGCACTTGCATTTGACATCAATGGGCTATCAAGATTACTGCTGAAATATGAATCCATCTCCATTGACATTGGCTGACCTGATGTTGTTTTCTCAATGTGAGCAAATGCTTCTGTTGTCAACCAAGGGACGAAGCCAAACTGTGACCATCGCAGCCTGTAAACTCCAAAAACTTCAAATATTACAAATGCAGAAAATAAAATGTAAAATAATTTCAACTCAAAATGGTCGCTATGAAAGTCAACACAAATGTCGATATATCAGTGACGCACGGTGATTATCTCAAGGGCCGCTGCGCCTTTAAGTGTATTCTATTATGCCATAAGTGCTCCAGTAATAAGCCAAAAAAACATCAAATTAACAAAAACAATGCAACAAAATTCATGGGAGCTACTGGCTGCAGCATGTTCATGTGGCGCTGTTGGCCTAAATGGTTAAACATGTTTGTTTGTTCCCAAAATTGGTAAAACAACAGCGGTACACAGTTTTTGTTTGATCCACCACTCTGTGCTGAGTTCTTGGAAAGTGGAAGCCGCTTAAATGGATCTATACAAATGCTGGTAACATCATTTACTTCCAGTAATCAAGTAGTCTGCTTACAGTGTTCATCTTGGGTCTTTTCATCCAACAAAAATTTCACGTTAGTTTTTTACTTTGCCTAGACTGTCCATTTCATTTGCCGCATTAATGGTATTTTTTTCCCTAAGATGGTATTATCAAGGTCTTAAAAGACAGTAAATGAATACTTAAAAATGTGCAGATAGCCTGGGTGTCTTGATGTCCATTAATCCTGTCGAGGAGCACCTTTGATGTAGTAACATTTTGCCTTTTCTTTCTATGTATTTCCTCCAGATATGAGCCGATTAATCAGTGGCGAAGTGACCAAGCCCACCTATGGCTGCCAGGTGACCATCCAGTCAGAGCAGGAGAAACAGATGATGAAGATGTACCGCAGGGAGGAGAAGAGAGAGAGGAAGAGAGGCAAAGGAATAGAGGACAGCGACTCCTCAGACGCTGTCCTGACGTTCGACCCCAGAGAGATGAGAACCCAGCGGTATGTCATCTCTTCAAACTGTCTCTTGGTCCTTTTCCCCTCATTAGGGCCCGAGCACTGACGTAGTCGGAGCGGAGGACCTATTGTTTTTCGAATGTTTATTATTATTATTATTATTATTATTATTATTTCTTCGTGTCTTTCGTCTCAAAAAGGAGGTGCTTGGGATACTGGAAAAATGTCGAAATTTGGCATGCAAGCCAGAATTTGCGAAAATTGCAGTCTGATTGGGGTGTCCAACTGCAGTATAAAATATTGGCTCGATAGCGCCCCCTATTGAGTAGCCCCAACACCGGGTTTCACCTAGCTGTATGAAATTTGGTAGGTATGTGGATCGTGATGGGACGTACAAAAAATCCTCTTGGAATTTTTCTCTAAACCAAACAGGAAGTCGGCCATTTTGACTTTTATGACGTTTTTGGACCGTTTCAAGGCGTCGTACTTTAACGAACTCCTCCCAGAGATTTGACCCGATTGACTTCAGATTTGGTCAGTATGCTCGTGAGACCTTGGCAGTGAAAAGTTACTCAAAGATCAAAAAGTTATCGAACTATGTATCCATGGCGTGGTGTCAAAAAAACACCATTCGCCGCGAAACAGGAAGTTGTTGTAACTCGGCCGTACATTGTCTAATCTGCTCCAAATCTCTCATATGTCATAACATCCTGACCCGGAACACATCTACATGATAATTTAGAATCATAGTAATAGCGCCACCTAGTGGTAACTGTAAGTTGTAAGTTGTGTACTTTGACATCCTGCTCCTCACAGATTAATCAGATCCCTCTCAAATGTTGTCAGAACAGCCTTAAGACCTTGATAATGCTTCATTGTGAAGATTGTAAGAAGTTGTTGAAGGGCGGCGACGTGGCGGCTCGGCGAATTTCGATCCTTCGCCATGAAGAAATAAACTGATGTAACTCGACTCCACATCATCAGATCTTTACCAGATTTCACATGTTTGATTAGACTCCAGGCCTGAAGACATCTGCAGGCCAATTTTGAATCATAGTCATAGCGCCACCTACTGGTAACAGGAAGTTAAATTCTTTATACTTTGGCTTGTTTCTCTTAGTAGGTAAATCAAATCAACATCAAGTTACTTCCACACAAATGTAAGAAGTTCATAATGCCAGTTCATGAAGCTTTTGATGTTTCGTCGAACACCGTTGCCATGGCGACGCAGTCTTCGTCGTTAACAACGAAGGTTATTTTGAGAGGCTAAAAATGCTCGAAACATAACCAAACTTGGCAAGCAGATTACAAGCCCGAAATGTAGATATAGAATATGATTTTCTTGGTTCAGAGTGGAAAATCGGCTCAATAGCGCCCCCTACAATATTTCGACGAAGCAGCCCTCGCAGTATGTTTGACCTAGATTTATGAAATTTGGGAGGAACATGTATCACATATGGACTTAAATAAAAGTCTCCTGCGGCCATGCTCTAAACCCAACCGGAAGTCAGCCATTTTGAATTTGTTATGAATTTCTAGTGTTGTTTTTGTCATTTCCAGGCGCTACACTTTAACGAACTCCTCCTAGGGAATTAATCAGATCAACTTCAAATTTGGTTGGTACAGTCTAAAGACCTTTGTGATGAAAAGTTACTCAAAGCTTGTTGTTTCGTGAAAAGCTGTTGCCGTGGCGACGCATTCTTCACCATGAAAAACTAAGGTGTTTTTGAGAGGCTAGAAATACTCGCAACATAAGCAAACTTGGCATACACATTTAAAGCCCAAAATGTAGTTGTATAATATGATTTTATTGGTTCAGAGTGGCAAATCGTCTCAACAGCGCCCCCCTACAAAATTTCGACGAAGCAGCCCTCGCTGTACATTTCACATAGATTTACAAAATTTGGTAGGCACATGTATCACATGTGGACTTAAAATAAAGTCTCTTGGGACCATGCTCTAAACCCAACCGGAAGTCAGCCATTTTGAATTTTGTATGAATTTCTCGTGGTTTTTTTCCATTTCCAGGTGCTGTACTACAAACTCCTCCTAGGGAATTAATCCGGTCAGCTTAGAATTTGGTCAGAACAATCTAAAGACCTTAGCGATTAAAAGTTACTAAAAGCTTTAGGTTTCATCAAACGATGTGGATATGGTGTGACGGCCATTTTACATGGTTCACCATCATCCATCAAGCTGTTTGAACTTGAATGTACTTTGTCAAAATTGTCCCAAACTTGACATGCTTGGTGACTGTCATGACTTTAGGACTTCTGCATGCCAATGTTAACTCATTGTCATAGCACCACCTACTGATAAGCACGGACGTAAGCAGGATTCAATAATTACAGCGGCCCAAACATTGAACTTATTGAAAGGGTTTGTGGGCACACCATGAGAAAAAGACTTCTCTGATCTAAATATGTGCAAACTAAGATGCTTGGAGAGCAAACGTTAGATAACAGTGGATTCTCAAACCATGTCAGTGGGCATTGGTATAAATGATCTGTCCAGAGCTTCTTCATGACAATCAGGTTAAACGTTACAATGAATGCTTCACACTACAATCTAAAGTTCCAGAAGAACTTAAAATGAAAACAGTGTTAAATTAAAGTGTTCAAGTAACAGCAAATGGCACTACTGTTTAGTTAACTTTCATGTAAGTCCAAATACAATCAGCAGGACACTGCAGGGAGTTGAACCCCATCCCAGTAAACTTACAGTTTGTTATGTTACAAACACAGAAGCGCATTCACACACATTTATTTTCTTAATGATCTTAACAGGCTTACATTTATGATTGTATCGGAGGTACACTCAAAAGGCTTGAGGCTTAAGACCTGGCAACATGATCTTGCTACGCTGCTGGTCGACGCAGGAAATATCATCTAACTCGTGTACACAGTGTGATGGTCACAGAAATGCATGGCCGCGTCACCCAGAGTCCTGCCAGTACCAGGAAATACCGTTTAACTCCTGCACGCAGTGTATGACGGTCACAGAAATGCATGGCCAGAGTCCTGCTAGTACCCTCGACGTGCGTGAAGTTGCGAGGGCCCGGTCAATGCTGCTCGCAGCTTTAATTGTCTTTGTTCTCTGTCCGGCCGCCTCCATCCCTGCTCTCAGCTGTCCGCACCAAAACCAAGCTTCTGAATTTTTCATGACAACTTGGCTTGAGCTTTATAAAATATAAAAACAACACACAGCGACAGTTCTTTTTTTCGGAGGATGAAAAAAAGAGCAGCGATCTGTTTAATTAAAAACTTGGCATGACCAAATCCAGCCCAGTGTGAAGGAAAAGATTAGCAGAGAGGTAAGCCACTTTAGGAAGGAACATAATGCCTCACATCTGTGCCTCTCCATTTGCATCATCAACTGCACCATCCATTGTAAAGCTGGAATGTGGATGGATGTGAGGGTTCACATATGGAACCAAGTGGTTGCAGATGTGACACTGTGCGGATGTGTTTTTGTAGAAATGACATTGCTGTTTATTCATTTCTCCTAATGTTGAAGTAATTCATTTACCCTATCAAGCTCCATTCAATTCCAGTTGACAGCATTCTGCTCTTCTGGGTTTCACATGTTCCATATGTCTTGTGTTTGCTGGCAAAGGGAGCAGGCCCTGCTGACTGCACGACGTGAACCTGTGCTGAGCAGAGAAAGAGTGTATGAACGTATCCGGTACCCCAATGTCTATGACAGCTACGCGGAGGCCACAAAGATGCCTGCGTTTGTTGGAGGAGCCAGGGTGAGGCTTGTTACTTCTGAGTAAAGTGTCCGCTGATGTGTAATGTATCTGTTGTCTTGGATATTTAACACGATGTAAGAGCTGAAGTGTACTGTATATATTCAATACTGCTCACAGTGAGATGCAGAACAATGATTTCACTACGTTTTCTTTCACAATCGTCAGGTACATCACCAGAAACCAGTTTTTCTGTTCCCGCAGTGCCCCATAGTAACAAACATAATACCCATAAGCGTTTGCTCTTTTTGGTTTTTGAAATATCTTTTTAGTTTCTTAAAAACCACAACCTCCTCTCCTTTTATTGCTCTTTTTGTACTTCATTTTTTTACAATAATAATGTAAGTATTTATGCATGCATGTTTTTTTTATTCATAAATGAATTATCTCGTTGTTTCAACATTAATTGTAAATGGTGGTTTACAAAGATCTCTACAAAGTGAGATTATATATACATCCTATTCTAATTCTAATCATTTATCTCTAAGTTGACTACGGTCCTCATGTTGGCATGAGCAGCAGAGTTACCAACAGTAGTTCTGCTCGTAGACAGTAGACAGAGAGGTGGGGAATATCATTCCATAAAGAGCCAGGGACCATGTGAATGATTGTTCTGTGAGACCAAATGTGCTTGTGTCCTGGTCCTAATGTGATGTAGGCTGCCCCATAGAATCACTCCCTCTTTACTAGTCTTTACCAAGAACTCCCAAAGTGCTACACTCATAATCATTTATATGACAAGCCACTGTACCACATGCTGTAACAAACTATAGTACAAAACCAACATTCAACCATGCCATGAATACTGCACTATCTTCTATGGAATTGGGTCTTTACGTGGAGTACTTCACATTGTCTGACACAAGTAGGATTAGATGTTCAGAGTGTTTGATCTGCTCTGTGTGTTAAAGGAAGCGTTGCAGATACAGGAATCAAAACAATTTGAAACATTGTGAATATACAGCTGAATTCTAACAGCATATTTAATGACTTTTATTTTCCTTTCAGAGTGCGTTTTAAAATGCAGTTATCTTAATCCAGAATCTTTGAGATCACTTGTGAGGTCTGGGTTTTCCTCATTTAGTGTGTGTGTGACATTCAGCTGCTGCTACCCGAGGGAATCCGCAGAGAGAACTCTAAGATGTATGAAGAGGTGGAGATCCCACCCACCCAACCCATGGCCATCGGCTTTGAAGAGAAGCCTGTCTACATCTCTGAACTAGATGAGGTAGGAGCGTGTGCGCGTGTGTGTGTGTGTGTGTGTGTGTGTGTGTGTTTTGAAGGCACTAGAGTTTTGAAGGCTGACTGACATTTCTGAAGTCAGGATGGGTTAGTGAAAACAATGAATATGTTCGTACTGACTGAGATCGTTGTATTAATACTATTGTGACCATATACAAATATAGTGTGAGCAAACATAAAACTATTTACTTTGCTTTTCCTTTTTCGGCCTTGAAGCTTATTATACAGTGCACACAGCTATTGACAATGACTGCTGCTGTACCAACACACATCTCTGTGTGTGTTTGGGTTGAACACAAAGATGGCCATGTAATAAGTCCACTTTAGAGGCGTTGCTGCGAGGATTCTGAATATTTGGACGGCTAGCTGTGTCTTCATGATGAGCTACTGTATGTGCACAGATATGAGAGTGGAAAATGAACAAACTTATTTCCCAATATTTGGAAGCATTCCTTTAATGCTGGAATTAGATTTCACAAAGGCCAAAATGAAACTTAACTAATACTTAGTAAATATGCTTTTTGCAAAGCAGTACTTTGTTTATGATCATTTGTCAGTAAAATAACCTCCTTAATCATTTTTATTCTCTGTACCACATAAGGCCACAATGATTGTTCAATCATTCCCAGTTCTTGGCAACATGTCGATTAGGTTTTCACAGGAATTACACTTTTGGCTTAGAAGCAGAGACAACAGGACACACCTTCACCTGAACGGTTCCATAGTGAGGCCAGTGTTTCCCCTACATGTGTGTGCTGCTGCTGATCTCTCTCACACACAGAGTGGAGCAGAGGACAGACAGGTGAAGTGAAGATAACCTTGTCAGTATTGCTTCCTGTGTTTTCAGCTGAGCTAGACCAGAGAATATCTGGTTTTGTCCTATTATCTCTCTGTGAAGTTTGCTGTGATGTCATGTTTATGTGGAGCGAGCCCTGCGGACGGCTGCTTGTCAGCAACCACTTCTAAAAGTCACCGATTTTTTTAAAGTTCAACAAGGTCCAGTTCGAGAGAATTTCCTCATCAAAGGTCGACAATAGTGTCTAACTTGTTCTATCATTTAGTCCCATATATATTGAATTAGCCAATAGTTGTGTCAACATCTCTAGGTAGTCAACAACTGACTGTCAAATCAAATAAACAAAGTTCCATTGAACAATACCTCAACAATATTTAATAATAATAATAAATGAATAATAAATGTTCTTCTCTCGCCTTAAGTAAAATAAGGGCTGGATTACAGAATGAAATACATAACAGAAAGCTTTTGAAAAATGTGACTCAGTGAAAAAATGTATTTCACTGAATTGTCCTGCAGCGTTAGATTCAGTTTAATAAGGTGTGAAGTGATGTCAATCAAGAAAACATGATATTATATTATCCTCATCTTCTAAAAAGAGAAACGTGTGTCTGTGATTATTAAAACCTCTTGCACACGACGCCCCCAAATGTGGGGGCTCTCAAATATCGTCCAAAAATTGCTCATTTTGATAGCCAGAATTGTACATGTGTACATTTTATATACCGGATTAAACAGCAACGTATGGGCAACACCATCATATAAGTCACTTTTTACACACTCCAAACACAACTATAGACTACTAATATAAGCATCTAGAAAATGTGGCATAAAAGCACGAATTCCTGGGCAAAAATTACCGTTATATTTGCTGCACATCGATATTGCACCACGACGCTAACGGCTATACGGCTAATCGGCACATCGCTTAGCTTTAGCATTCGACAGAGAACGCATAAATACCTTCGGTTTTTCTCTCTGTGAAACCAGTAGAAAGCTGTGAGTGACCAACGGTACCATGACAGTGCCCTTCACCGAAAAAAATTTTTGGTTTTGGTCACCTTTTATGAAGAATGATGACAATAACATCAAAAATTATCCGGTTCAAAGCTACCATCATTGTTGGCAACTGCATCCTGTCTGCTTCCGATCTGTTTCCTGTAAAAGGGGGGTCAATCCACCATGGGCGAGCGGTCAGACTTTGGGTGAATGGAATTTTACACTCGGGGAGACGCGGCACTTCTTGCAACTTTACTCGCTGAAACTTCTGTCTATCAACACCTGCTTCGACGCCCGCCTTCCTGAGACTCTGACGCGTCGAAGGCGGGCTCATTGACTGAAATCGACCAATGATAGGCTGAGCTACAGCCCCATACACACAGAGCAACTGAGAAAATCCTATGGATGACAGCCAGAAACCCCAGCTCTCAAAATGATTCCTAACAGCTGTATTTGGATGTATTAAATAATATGAGTGATAAAGAAAGTGAAATATATAGTATATTAAAGTACAATGTAAGAGCTGCAACAGCTGGTTAGAAAATGATGACCTCGCGTGACCTCTCTGTACTAAAGCCTCTTATTCTTCACTTTATCCCAGCCAACCTTTATTCAACAACTACTGATCGGTTGTGCTATGATTTGGGAGAGTTTTGAGGCAGCCAGCTGCATTATTTCAAAAACATAATATCAATAAAAGTGCTTTTTTTTCAGGCGAACCTGAATATTTTCAATTTGAGCTGTGTAATATCTTCATGTACTATATTAACCAGCAACATATACACAATATTTACCCATCTGAACAATCTCACAAGTGTTATCGGATTATAGCATCACAAATTATAAAAATAGACCTTGTAGTTACAGAACTGTGGTCTCTTTAGTATGGGTATGCCATTTTCGAGCAGAGGCCTACAAATAGGGCTAGAGCTTAAAAGGTTTTAAACCACTTGTTTCAGCTCTATTCTCTCTGGTAACATCATTGTTGGTCAGTGAATTCATGCATTAGGATTCTGATCATATTGGGCTCTTAGGTTGTTTATTATCTGTGACTTCATTTCAGATGTGAGTGGGTACGTTTACTCAAAAAAGTTCTTTGTCTCTTTAGTGGCGCTTCACATTACTGCTTTTAATAATCATCACGGTCTCTGAACATGTGAGACATCCTGGTTTTAAACTGCCAGTGGGGAGAATGAACCTATAGCAGTCTGTCCATTCTTGGTTAAAGCAGACAGCAGTTGTTTTGGCTATGCACCGGTATAATGGTGTGTGAAGAATTCATATCATAAGGGAAATTAAAACCGGTATACTGCCCAGCCCTAGTCTTTATTATAGTTTGGACAATTTTGTACCAACATTTGACGGGCCGGATTAAAAAGCCCAACGGGCCGTATCCGGCCCGCGGGCTGTATTTTGCCCATGCCTGGGCTAGATGCTACCTAATGCTACACCCTGTCCCTTCAAGTGGTCTATTCAGAACATGGTGGCCTATGCTGATCATGTTTGTGCTGGTTCATAGTTTGTCAGAACTTCTTTGTATTTGTTAACCAATATAATTCATGAATAAATATTATTGAAATGTTTTCTGAATATCTGTTCTTTTGATTTAGAGAATTTGATTTTACATGGCAAACATTTCCATAAGATAGATCAGGGGTCACTAATAGATCAGGGTCACTAATAGATCAGGGGTCACTAATGGATCAGGGGGCACTAATAGATCAGGAGTCACTAATAGATCAGGGGGCACTAATAGATCAGGGGGCACTAATAGATCATCCATCCATCCATTTTCCTCCGCTTATCCGGGGTCGGATCGCGGTGGCAGCAGGCCAAGCAGGCTGACCCAGACCTCCCTCTGGGAGATGTAATCTCTCCAGCGTGTTCTGGGTCTTCCCCGGGGTCTCTTCCCAGTTGGACGTGCCTGGAAAACCTCCAGTGGGAGGCGTCCAGGAGGCATCCTAATTAGATGCCGAACCACCTCAGCTGACTCCTTTCGACGCGAAGGAGTAGCGGCTCGACTCCAAGTTCCCTCCTGATGACCGAGCTCCTTACCCTATCTCTAAGGCTGAGCCCGGCCACCCTACGGAGGAAGCTCATTTCGGCCGCTTGTAGCCACAACCTTGTCCTTTCGGTCACGACCCAGAGTTCGTGACCATAGGTGAGGGTAGGAACGTAGACCGAGTGGTAAATTGAGAGCTTTGCCTTCCGGCTCAGCTCCCTCTTCACCAAGACGGTCCGGTGCCGCGCCTGCTTTACTGCTTCAGCCGCACCGATCCGCCTGTCGATCTCCCGCTACATCTTACCCTCACTCGTGAACAAGACCCCGAGATACTTGAACTCCTTCGCTTGAGGTAGGCATTCCATCCCCACCTGGAGGGAGCAATCCACCGGTTTCCGGCAGAGAACCATGGCCTCAGATTTGGAGGTGCTAACTTTCATCCCCGCCGCTTCACACTCGGCTGCAAACCGCCCCAGTGAATGCTGGAGGTCACGATCCGAGGAGGCTAACAGGACCACATCATCTGCAAACAGCAGAGAGGCGATCCCGAGACCCCCGAACCTGACGTTCTCCGCCCCCAGGCTGCGCCTAGATATCCTGTCCATGAAAGTCACGAACAGGACCGGTGACAAAGGGCAGCCCTGGCGGAGGCCAACACCCACCGGGAGCGTGTCTGACTTATTGCCGAGAATGCGGACACAGCTCCTACTGCAGTCGTACAGAGACCGGATCGCCCGTTGAACGAATAGATCAGGGGACACTAATAGATCAGGGGACACTAATAGATCAGGGGTCACTAAAAGATCAGGGGTCACTAATAGATCAGGGGTCACTAATAGATCAGGGGCACTAATAGATCAGGGGGCACTAATAAGCGGACCGCGGTCCGGTTCTGGACCCAGACGCTGTTGTATCTGGACCCTGGACCTACAACCGATAGTTAACCGATAGTTAAGAATGATTACATTTTGACGGAGAGCTTCTATTTCAACCTTCACGGCACTCGTTCAGCGATGCAGGAAACACAATGACCAATTACATGCGTTGTAAATCACATCATGTGATGCTGCTCAGCCAATCAAATATGTATATTCTGATAAACTTCCCAGAGAAGTTATTGTTGGAATGCTGTTAAGCATTCCAACTATTGTTCTTCGAATCTTTATTGTTGGAATGCTGTTAAGCATTT